CATCTGTAAAATGAGTAACACTTCCAGGTCTTGCCTCCCAGAATTGCTGAATGGGGATCAAAAGACATAATGTATATGAAATGTTTTGTAAAACTTTAAAACACTAATGTTCAAAAATTATTATAAAGTACATCCATGCATACATATATACATATGCACACAGAATATATATATACATACGGACTAGAGCAGCTGTTAGGAGATAAACAAAGGGTCTTTTGGGAACTACTCTACAGGAAATAATGCGGCTCTGGATGACAGTCAACTTGTAAATAAAAAAGAAAGTCAAGCTTCTGGGCTAATGATAGAGAAAAAGCATGAATTGATTTGGTAGAAGCCGGGGACCAATGAAGACAAAGAAGTCTGGTGGCCTACTATGGGAAACAGCCTACAGTAGAAATAGAAGTAAATTAGGAAAGCAAAGAATGTAGGCCTCTTAGACACCCAAGGAAAGCAGCCTCTGAAACAAATGAAAAGAACAAATAAAAAAAAGAAAAAGAAAAGAACAAATGATAGGGAGAAGAACAACAAATTTCTCATCTGAAGATTTGGGCTCAAAACGTGGTATTATTTGTATGACCTTATGAAAGCTGCTTCACTTCAAAATAACAACAAAAAAAAGCATTAAATGAAAGAATAACAAGAGAGAGAGAGAGAGAGAGAGAGAGAGAGAGAGAGAGAGAGAGAGAGAGAGAGAGAGAGAGAAAGAAAGAACAAGAACAATGATCTCTTCACATGGAAAACCTCACAGAAGACAAAAGAGATAAACAAACAAAAAAGAGGCCCTAATGTAATAAATAACACAGGGAAGGAATCTTGAAAAGAAAGGATTAATACTGCACTAACAAAAATGAGACCTCCAGAAATAAGAAGTGAATTACAACACCCTTTACAGGAGGAGCATTAAAGGAAGATGTAGAGAAACTAGAATATCTTCAATTTTAAAGGCAAGCCAGAGAATTAAGCATTTACAACAGATAATGGGAAAATATTAATAGAGCAATAATACTCTGAAAAAGAGAGTGGCAGAAATTGAATCCATAGATATAGTACAACCCCCACCCCACAAAAAAAACCCTATCAGAAATAAAAACAAAAAATTACCAAAATATTTGGCATCTTTACAAACCAAAACAACAGGCCCTTAATAAATCTCTATAAGAAAATTTAGGAATAGTTCCCTTACCCCACCCCCAAAAAAATTACAATTAAAGAGCTTGACTACTCCATTTCAAGAACTCACTCAAGAAAATCTTCCAGAAGTATTGGGAAAACAGGGCATAGTGCAGATGAAAATAGTCCATAGGGCACTGTCAAGCTTAACTCACTCAGGACTAGAGTCAACAAGTTGAAACTCTTCAATTTCACCAATAACAACATGAATTGTAAAAGCTACCAGGAGAAGGCAGTTTAGCTATGGAGGCATTCCAGTTTAAAATGAGTAGGCCCCTAATCTATAATGATAGAAAAGACTCCTCACTAAGCCCAATTCCTCTTTTTGTGCCCTGATCATATCTCCTCTGAAAGGTCATTTGTCAGTCATGCCCTGTATTCTTCAATCTTTCCCTATCACTGGACGTTTCATGATCCTTATAAACCCAGTTTGAAGGGATAATAGGATCAAGTGTTCATTCCCTATTTCTTTTTCCTTTCACAGATTAACACATTTCTAGAAAAAAAGCTCTCTATATTCATTAACTGTACTCCCTCTCTTCTCATATATTTCTGAAAAATGAGATTCTGATAACTAAAATGGGAAGAGGTGTCAGAGGGTAGATAAATGATAGACCAATATCTCTGATAAATATTGCAGAAATACTGAATTAAATATATCAAAGAGAGGACAACCTCCAAATTATAAAGATTAGACACTATGACCAGTTTGAATTTATACCAGGAATAGAGGACTGATTCAATTTGGGAAAATTATAAAATTATAGAACATATTAGTAAGAGAACTAATAAAAATCACAGATTATTCAATAATAGCTAACATTTATATGTAGCTTACTATGCGCCAGGTAGTATGCTAAGTGCCTCATAATTACTATCTCATTTGATCAAGAAATATAAATAGAACTTCCCTTAATACAGTGAGCAATACTTGTCTAAAACAAGAGCCCATCCATACAAAATAAATGTTAGAGGTCTTTCCAGTAAAATCAGGGGTAATGCCACTATGTACATTGTCACTACTATTATTTGATGTAATTGCAGAAATAGTAGCTATCGCAACATCACAAGAAAAAAATCAACACAGGGAATAAACACAGGCAAAAAGGGAACAAAATTATTACTTTACAGATGACATGATGGTTTTATTTAAACAGTGGTAGAGATTCACCTAACATTAAGAGAAATTCAAACATGAGTAAAATAGCAAGACATAAAATAAAACCACCAAAAGACCATCAGACTTTCCAAACATTACAAACTATTCTCATCAGAGATAGACATTACACTCAGAATTTCTACAAAATATCTGAGAGTTTCTTCAGACACACAAGGGAATTATATGAATATAACTATAAAACACTGCATTAAAAAAGGGTAACAAACAGAAAAGAATTACTCACAGACGGACCATGCTAATATAATAAAAATGACAATATGACTTAATACGACTTAAATTGGTTTAAGATTTAGTACCATACCAAGCAAACTACCCAATAATTACTTTATAGAACTAAGAAAAAGAAAAAGAAAGTTCACCTAGAGGACTAAGAGGTCAAGAATCTCAAGGAAAATAAAATTTTAAAAGTAGGAAAAGTTAAGGGAGCTTAGTAGTGCCAAATTCAAAACTGTACTACAAAGCAGTAATCATAATAACTATTTGGACAGACTGAAAACTGATCAATAGAAAATATAATGTACACAAGATTCAGAAAAACTTAATACAGTAGCATAGTATTCAATAAAATCAAATACAAAAACTCCTGGGTCAGTGACTCAGTATTTGAAAAAATACTGCTGGGAAAACCAAAAGGCAGAGAAATTAGGTATAGATGAATATGCTACAATAGATACATAACCCAGAAATAAAAGGTTATGTCATAAACAAATTAGAGAGAACAGAAGGTGATACCTTTCACAGGTATGGATGGGGCAAAGTTCTTGATCAAATAAGGAACAGAGTGAATCACAGAAAATGAAATGGATATTTTTCATGACATAAAACTTAAACGTTTAGCAAAAACAAAAGCAATTCAATTAGAATTAGAAGGAAAAGAGTTAACTTGGAAAAAAAATCTTTGCAGCAATTCCTCTGATGAAGGTCTGACAGCCACGATATATAGGAAATTGATTCAAATATTTAGGAGCAAATGCCAACCAATAATTGGTCAAAGGACATAAGCAGCCAGTTTTCAAGGGAAGAAATCTAATCTATCAACAACCATATGAAAATATGCTGCAAATCAATAATTGTAAGAAAAATAGAAGTTACAATAACAGAGACTTCATCTCACACTGGTCCAACCAGATTGGCAAACATGACAAAAGATGAAAATTACAACTGTTGGAGGGGCTGTGTGTGAATAATACTCTAAGGAGCTGTTGGCAGAATTGTGAATTGGACCTATAATCACAAAAGCAATTTAGAATTGTATAGAAAACGTCACTAAACTATGCATATACCCTTTGACCCACTAATAACCTACTAGGAATATACCCCAAAGAGATCACATGTAGACAAAACGTGTTCATTTACTCAAAAATAATTATTTTGCTGTTGTTCGGTCATTTCTGTTCTGTCCGACAATTCATGACTCCATTTTGGGTTTTCTTGGCAAAGATCCTAGAGTGGTTTGCCATTTCCTTCTCTATTGGATCCATTTTGTTAGGCAATCAGAGGTTAAGTGACTTGCTCAGGGTCACACAGCTAGGAAATATCTGAGGCTGGATTTGAACTCAGGTCTTCCTGACTCCAGGCCCAGTGCTCTCTCTACCAAGCCTCAGCTGCCTCTAAAAATAGTTATAGTACCACTCTATATTGTAGCAAAGGAGTAGAAACAAAGTGGGTGCACATTAACTACGGAATGGATGAACAAATTATATTATACAAATACTAATTCATTTAATGCATCCCCTCAAATATTCATGCTGACCAATTAGAAACTCATGCCAAAACTGCAAGGATGCTTCAATATTAGAAAAAAAAATGAGTTACATAAATAATAAAAATTGTACAATTATGTCAAATCACAGAAAAAGTCTTCAACAAAATACATTTACATTCAAACACTTAGAAGTACAGGAATGAAAGTACCAAATCCTTAGGCAAAACCGAAGTACCTGCTGATGCAGTTGGGTCATGAAAATGATAAGTCACATTACTACCCAAACTACAAATTTTGATGCTGTATACATCAATCAGTTTATTCACAGATGTAGACAAAATAACATCCAAATGAAATAATAAAAAATAAAGACTATTAAGGGATATAATGGAAAAAGGCACTCAGTAATACCAAAGTTCAATTTATGTAATAAAGCAGTAATTATCAAAACAATCTGATACTACAATTAAAAAAGAGAGACTAACACAGATTAAATAACACTCAGAAACAAATCTGCAGAGAGTCTTGTGTTTCCTAAATGCAAGAATACACACCACTAAGAAAAAGGACTTTTTATATTATTGAAAAGATAGGGACTGGATCTGTAAATTCATTTCTACAGGTAGCTCTCAATGAGGAACTCCCCGCTAGTAATGCACATTGGCACTTTCTTTCCAATTTATAGGATCTGAAAGTTGTTTGGATTATTGAGAGGTTAAATTACTTGCTCAGGATACCTCAGCAACTATGTGTCAGAGAAGGAATTTGAAAACTGGTCTTTTTGGTTCCAAGACAAGCTTTCTATCATATGTCATACTTTCTCTATATGGCAAGAACTAGAAGGAATATTGGAAAGCAGTTTGGGGTTATTACAAAAATCCCAACTGGATAAATAACCTCAATACACACACACACACACACACAATCACACAATCACACCTTACTTTAACTAGAGAAGAGTCAGAGGCTCTGGTAGTAGAGGACTTCAACGTTTCTCTCTCAAGGGCTGGGCAAATCTAATAAAAAGATTAATAAAAAGGAATATATAGAAGTGAATTTTTGGAGAAGTTGAGAGCTGACAGTCTCATGGTATCTTCTAAACAGAACACTACATAAACACAAGAGGGAAAAGGCTATAGAACTGACAAAGAAAACTAAAAACCTAAAAGACTTAACAAAGTTAGTAAACCTTTTGCTAACCTGATTAACCCCATGACCTTTTTACAAGTGAATAAATGCACTTTTATGAGATGTGATTGCAGAGTGGCAGCTAGGCAGCGCAGTGGGTAAACCATGAGGCCTTCAAATCTGGCCTTAGACACATACTAGCTGTGTGACCCTGGGCAAGTCACTTCACTCTGTTTGACTCAGTTTCTTCATCTGTAAAATGAGCTGGATAAGGAAATGGCAAGTAAATCCAGTATCCTTGCCAAGATAACTCTAAGACGGAGGCACAAAAAGTCAAACAGGACTGAAATGACTGAACAACAAAAACAACAGTTGCAGAGTGGGAAGGTAAGGGAGCAGATAAGGGACTGGAGAAGCTGCAGGAGAATGAGAGAAATAACAGAAGGGAGGGATTCAGCTTGGGGTCTCAACCCAAAAGTGGGGGAGTGGTTACCGCAGAAGAGTATTCTTATTGGAGAAGTATATGCCAGAAATCAATCAACCTAGAAGTATTTATTTAATGCCTATGTGCTAGGCACTGGGAATAAAAGGTACAAATAATTAAATATTATCTACCCACAAGGAACTTCCATCCTAATGAGAAAGACTACAAGTACATATATAAATATATACTGCATAAAAATAAAGTGAATAAATATAAATACATGCAAAGTAATTACATTCAAGTTTAATATGGGAATGAAGGCCACCTTTTCTGAGAGTGCCTTAATGGGCAACATCAAGGCTGGGGGAACATGGCCCCAGAGAAAAGGATCACAGAGAAGGCAAAATAAAGACTGCCCAATTTAGGACACAGGGTAATCTCTACCACTTCGAGTTCCTTCTGTCCAACATTATTTCCCTCACAAAGGGTCTAGGATGAGAATCAGAGAAAACATCAGAATATGCTAGCAGAGAGGAGACAAGGAAGAAAATGAAGCAAAGAAAGCTTCTTAGAACAAAGTGCAGTAAAAAGAAAACTAACAAACACAGGAAGTTGGAGAAGAGTGGAGATTTTTAACTAGATGCTTAACTGAGAAGGGAATGATAAAGGACCAAAGAAAAGGATAGATTAAAAAAAAGAAATCAATTAAGTTAGGTAAAACTCCCCCAAACCACAGAAACAGTAGGCAAAGAGGAGCAGGGGAGGAAAGCTTGTGGGGATATCAAAGCAATTTAAGTTAATAACTGGGGCAAAGTATTGACAAAGAGAAAGGAGATATGAAAATCAATCAATCAATAAACATAGGACATTAATAGACTAATACGTGAAATCTAATCTAATAATATGAAAGAGAATGGACCAACTAAATCTGCTATTTACAAAAAGCACATCTAAAGGGCAAAGAAACATAGAATCAAAATGACACTGGAACAAAATTTACTACACAAGATACAAATAAAAAAGCAAATTGCAAGCATATTAACAAAGTAAAAGTAAAATTCACAATGTCAGTAATTAAACAAGGAAATAACATTATGTATGCTTAACAAAATCAAAGACAACAAACCAATATTATTATTAAACACACGTAACAAACTTCATAGCATCTAAATTCTTTTTTGAAATTAAGTGAATTGTACAAAGATACAGTTAGTAACAGAGTAGTTAGTAGGTGCCCTTAAAGTTCCTCTCTCAGAAATGTAAACAAAAAGGAAAATAGAAAATTAAACAAACTGCTGACAAATTTAAATCTAAAAGATTTATGACACCTTCTGAATGGGACCTTTAAAGACTAAACATATTTGTCAGCACCACTTGGCGCTTAAAAAAAAAAAAAACAAAAAACAAACTGGCCACGTACTAGGGAAAGAGAAAATGCAAAGAAATGTTATCTTTTAGTGTTTCTTAAAGAAAAAAAAATACACATTCCTTGGCCCAGCAGTCAAGGCCCTCTATGATCTGGCCCCAAACCATCTCCTAATCTATTTACTACTCCTCCCTATTGAATGATATGTGCTTTTGTTAAATTGAATGGCAGAGTTTAAATACTACCCAAAGGTTGGTCTCCAGGTGATGAATTTTTTTAAAAAAATTAATTTATTTTTAGTTTTCAATATTTACTTCCATAAGAGTTTGAGTTTTAAATTTTTCCTCCCTTTCTCTCCTCCTCCCTCCCTAAGATGGCATGCAATCTGAGATAGGCTCTACTTACACATTCATATTAAACATATTTTCACATTAGTCATGATGTAAAGAATTAGAACTAATGGGAAGAACCAAGAGAATGAAGCAATAAAAGAAAACGATGAAAGAAAAGGAGAGCAAATAGTATGCTTCCATCTGCATTCAGACTCCACAGTTCTTTCTCTGGATGTGGATAGCATTTTCCATCGTGAGTCTCATGGAGTTATTTTAGATCCTTACATTGCTGAGAAGAGCCAAGTCTAGGTAATGAACTTTTCTGCCACAGGAATTCATGAAATGCAAATGTGTATGATCTTTGATGGCAGAGAGGCACAGTAGTTTAAGTTACTGAACTTCCAAAATATCAAAATATGAACATGTATATGTCTGAGGCAGTTATTTCCAATGTCAGTGTTTATACAAATGCTTAGTCAAAACAACACTATTTTCCTTTAGTCAGGGTCTTAATTTTTAGTTGAAGGATGGAACCTATAATGAACTTGTCTACTACAGAGTTAACTTAGTTTGCTCAAAACCAAACAAGAGGCTCAAGTTCAAAAATTATGTACCTGGATTATGTACTCTGGATTAGTCTAAAGTACATAGCCTGTGAATAGGACTGGTTTTCCCTTTTATCTCTTCAGCCTTTCTTTCAGACCCTTTCTCTTTCCTTCTGATCCTTTTACACTCTGATCTTCTACTACAAATTTAATAACATCAATTGGGTCCAACTAGAAGGGTCAGAACTTCCTTATCTGCCATAGCAGACCTCCTAAAAATCCCACAGTATTTCCCAGTTGTCCCCAGACACGATCTCCCCCATCGTCTTGCATCAACCTACTACTCTTAAGTCACAGACTCAAAGAAATGTTACAACTGGCCTAGTTGGACCTTAAAGATCATCTAATCCTTATTTTACAACTCGAATGGACTTTGTTCAGTTCTCATCTGTCTCGAACTCTGAAAGCACTAATAAATGATCATTGTCTTCTCCTAGATACACACTCTCTCTCTCTTTTCAGTCCTCTTACACTTTACTTCCTTCCCTCTGTGTACAGACAGCTCTCTCTTTACCTGGGGACCTCTATGGACCTGGGGAAGGGAAGGAAGGAACGAGAGAGGGATGGAGGCAAGAAGGGGGCCTTGCACCTATGGAGGGAGGGAGCTGGAAGGCACATGGCCAGGGACAGAGAAGTGGAGGCAAGAGGAGGACCTGAGGGGGCCAGAGTCAGCCATGTAAGGGGGAAGCATGTAAGGGCTGGACACTGACAGGAGAGGACAGGGATAGGCTTGATACCCAAGGGCCAACAGACCGATGGCAGACACAGCAGCAGGAGTACAGAGTGGGACAAAAGTTTTCCCTAGCAGTGCTGGAGGTCTCAAGCCTAGCCCCCAACCCAGCTGCAGGGCTGGTCTTCTGCTTTCACTTGGAGGGTATTTTTTTGGTGGGGGGGGAGGAGAGGGTAGGATGCTGAGGAGTGCCACTAATTGGTGTGGCAGGTGCAGAGACAGCAAGCACAGTATTATATAGGAAAGTTAACACAGGTATTTTTAAAGAATTCTTTACTAAAAGTCAACTTTTGCCTAAAAAGTGAGAACTATCTGCACTTCTCTACTCAACAACTCGGCCACACTTACTCTGGGATAAGTCTTGAAGAAAGCAGAGGTGGAGCGTCCTGTTTGAGGGATGGCAAGAAGGCCAGTGACACTTTCTCCTCTTCCCTAAATTTCACTGGCTGCCTCTTACTTCAAGAATCAAATTCAACTCCTCTGTTGGGTACTTAAAGCCTTCACAACCAGGCCCTTGCCTATACATCTTCTTCCAGTAAACTATGAGAAAATTATACTGGCTTTCCTATTCTTCCTCTTAAATGATTCCACTTTCTCCCACCATGCTTTGCACTGGTCATATACTTCCTTCTCACACATCTCAGAATCTCTAGCTTCTTTTCAACATTCAGCTCAAAATGCCAACTTCTGTTATTACTCAGTAGTTTTTTTAGTCTTGTCCAACTCTTTGTGACCCCATTTGGGGTTTCTTGGCAAAGATAGAGGACTGGTTTGCCATTTCCTGCTCCAGCTCATTTTACATATGAGGAAATTGAGGTAAACAGGGTGAAGTGACTTGCCCAAGGTCACACGGCTAGGAAGTGTCTGCGGCTGGATTTGAACTCACAAAGATGAGTCTTCCTGATTCCAGGCCACCTAATTGCCAACTTCTACATGAAACTTTTTCTGATCTCTCCAGCTGAAGTGTCTCCCCCACAAAACAAAACAAAAACAAAGAAACCCACACGCACTCTGTATTTATTTTAGATGCTGCCTCTACAGCTAGATTATAAGCTCCTTGAAGGCAGGAATTGTTTTACTCTTGTCTCTGCATCCCAGTGTCTGGAATATAGCAGGCTCCTTACATTTACTTATCATTTCAGAGGGAGAACAATTTAAATAGGATCATAGAATCATACATTTACAACTGAAAGGGACCTTTAGAGGCTATCAAGTCCAACCCCCTTCATTTTACAGATGAGGAAACTAAGGCTGAGAGAAATTAAGTGATCTGCCCTAGGTCATACAGTCAGAAAGTGATTAAGGCAGGATTCAAACTCAGGTCTTCTTGACTCTAAATGGGCTCTCTATACATTGCTATCTATCTAAATTGCTGATCTGCCCTCATTCTATTCAGCCTGTGGGAGATTAGAGCCTGCTATTAGCTCAATC